ACATTCATGCAGCACTCTACTACACACATTCATGCAGCACTCTACTAAACACATTCATGCAGCACTCTACTACACACTTTCATGTAGCACTCTACTACACACATTCATACAGCACTCTACTACACACATTCATACAGCACTCTACTACACACATTCCTACAACACTACTACACACATTCATACAGCACTCTACTACACACATTTATTCAACACTCTAATACACACATTCATACAGCACTCTACTACACACATTTATACAGCACTCTACTACACACATTCATACACCAGTGGGACACACAGAGACAATGAGGGGTTCAGTGTCTTGCCCAGGGACACTTCAACATATGACTGCCGATGCACTTGAAGCCTCAACTCTCCCATTGGAAGACAACCGCTCTAACCACTGATCCACAGCTGCCTGAATGTGTAATTTGTCAGATTAATACATGTCACCATACATACATACCATACATGGGTGGAGGTACCCCTCTGGGTTTTCAGCAGATTAATGTGTTCTAATCTGGACAAAATGAAAAGTACTGTAAGTGTCAAACACTTGAGATTTTTTCCCCTGAAGGATATAAACAGTAAAATGGACCTGTACCTACAAGAAAGTTCAGTTGCAAGCTTAGTCAGAATCGGAGCCGTTGTCTCAGATGGGCCTCCTCCCAGGAAAACGTTGGTTCTTTTAGAGAAAGCCAACAACATCTGCATGAAGACACCTGCTGAAGAAGTTCGGCAGATGTCGGGTTGAGGGTTTGAAAGGTTCATGTGAGACTAACGAGGCTCATTGGTGGGATCTTCAGACAGAGGTTCAAACCGTTTGTTCACATGTTGGAAGGTTGAAAAGAAAACCAGAAGAGGTGCAGGACTCAACAGGCCTTGGTTGACTGGGCACAACTTTTCTTACAAAGAATGTGTTGAAGAAAGTGGGTGAATACAGAAAAAGCAATTACTAGGTTCCAAGTAAAGGCCTTATCAACATGCTGCAGGTTTCACTGGTATGTTAGTCTATAACCAGTGGCAGGAATCTGAGGAAAGACTGGGAGTTTATTCACAGAGAGACAAGTATCCCAGGGTTTGAAGAATCAGAGGAAAGTCCATATGTAAGCATCAGGAGCATTTTGTCAGAATTAATAGAGCTTTTCATAATTGGAAGTCAGCAGGATTAATACAGGAGCAGCCAGAGAAGAAAGGGAGACAAGTGACGGATGAGCAATTCTTCAGTAGGAGTTCAGAGCATCGATACCTGCCGGGGAGAGAACCAGGGCTTGTAGAAGGTCCGACAGAGAGACTATCCCTCTCACCACATCATCACTGTCCACCAAAACCAGCCGATGAACCTAATGGGGAAACACAAAAAGAGTCCAGTTCGTACAGTATCAGAACATCACAGACCAGTTGAGCCCAGTATGTACAGTCAGAAAAAGACTGGAACTACACAGAGATCAGAGAAGACCGACGTCATGTGGATGTCACACCATCACAGTTTGGTCTGTAGATGAGCAAAGGGCCAAAGGACACTTAGACTCCATCCATCCATCCATTTTCTTTACCCGCTTATTCCATTTTGGGTCACGGGGGTCGCTGGTGCCCATGTCCAGCAATCACTGTGCGAGGGGCGGGGTACACCCTGGACGGGTCTCCAGTCCATCACAGGGACACATAGAGACAAACGAGACAAACAACCATTCACTCTCTCACTCACACCTAGGGACAATTTAGAGTTACCAATCAGCCTAACATGCATGTTTTTGGACTGTGGGAGGAAACCGGAGTACCCGGAGAAAACCCACGCATGCACGGAGAGAACATGCAAACTCCACCCAGAAAGGCCCCTGGACCGGGGTTTGAACCAGGGACCTGCTCGCTGAGAGGCAGCAGCTCTACCAGTTGCGCCACCGTGCTGCCCCGACACTTAGACTCACCCTTATAAATTAATTTGTTTATGCCAAGATGTTGGGCAGCACGGTGGTGCAACTGGTAGGGCTGCTGCCTCTCAGCGAGCAGGTCCCTGGTTCAAATCCTGGTCCAGGGGCCTTTCTGGGTGGAGTTTGTATGTTCTCTCCGTGCTGCGTGAGTTTTCTCCGGGTACTCCAGTTTCCTCCCACAGACCAAAAACAGGCATGTTAGACTGATGATAACTCTGAATTGTCTCTATGTGTCCCTGTGATGGACTGGAGACCCGTCCAGGGTGTCCCTCGCACAGTGACTGCTGGACATGGGCACCGGCGACCCCCATGACCCAAAATGGAAGAAGTGGGTAAAGATAATGGATGGATGGACGCCAAGATGTTGTCACACGCACGCACACACACACACACACACACACACACACACACACACACACACACACACACACACACACACACACACCATAATGGAAGTTGGAACTTCACTTATTTTTCAAGTCATCATGCTACAGAGGGTATTTCCAATTCCACCTCTTCTCTGTGACAAAAACAAAGTTCTTCCTCTTAATAAATACTGTGTGTATAAAATATCCTGATGATGCATGTGTGTATAAAAGTTTTTTTTTTAAAAGCGTGCCTGATAAATTTCTGCTTGTTTGGTTGAACCCACGTGCAGCTGATCACAACATGCTCCCAGGTAAGGAAGTAAAATAACTCTGAATTTTACAAAACAACAAGAGAGCTGACGGGGCAGCAGAAACTTGTTGGAGGAGACCAGGGAGAAGAACCTGAAGGAGGAGAACAGGGAGAAGAACCTGAAGGAGGAGAACAGGGAGAAGAACCTGAAGGAGGAGAACAGGGAGCAGAACCTGAAGGAAAACACTCAGACACAGGAGACATGACAAGACGCTGACAAACACTGAGAAGACAGAGTGACAACATCTGGGCTGAAACACAGCGAGGTGCAGGAGCTGAATAAGACCACTAGAAGGAGACACTGTGGAGCGGGGCAGACAGACCCCCCAAGTGACAGCGCAGGACTCAGAACATCATTTTATCCAGAAAGTTTTTTTTTTATCACAATAACCTTTTTCAGTCTCACTTCCTATGCAAGCACAGGCGGGTCTGGAGAAAGTGAGGTTTAGGCTGTTCCACATGAGTTTCATTTGTTTCCATGTTTCTGTGAGATTCTTACGAGGAGGCTTTAGAGTATTTTACTGATCCAAACCCTCCACAGGACCACACTTCACTTTTTTAGATCCAAACCCTCAGGTTCCAGTAATAACAGCTGGTGTGTGACTGGTCTTTGTCTGGTGGAGTACCTCAGCGTGTGCGATGCGGTTGATGATGGTGTCCAGCGTTTCATGAGGGTAACACTTGATGACCCCCTCCACCCAGCAGACTCTGGAAGCAATGGCCTCGTGCATGCTCATGTTCAGATTGTTGTAGTTTTTCTGTGCAGCGAGGTTCTTAAAGACAGACACAGGAAAGTGGCTTTGCTTCAGTAATCTGACAGCAGCCGCTGCCTTTCATTAATGACGTCACCCAAACATCCATCCACTAAATGTTGGCCAGTGGTGCACGAGATATTTTGTTAACAAAGCATCCGTTGATCACGTGCACAAAAAACAGAGTAAAAAGTTCACAACATGTACTTACGATGACATCGAACCTGGAGTACAACGCCACCACTTTACCTGCAGGGGAGAAACAGAACAGGCTGAAGACATGGCTGCACGTTCTGGTCCAGCACAACATCTGGAATAACTTCAGCATCTGGGAGGCAGGAAGGTGTAGAATGCACTGAGGAAACACTCGGATGAGCCCGTCTCTGAGGGGCTTGAACAGTGAATGTTTGTAGTTTGGGACATGAGTGTTTTTCTGAACTGGAATGAAAGTGAACCTGAATGTTTTGGTGCAAGATATTCGAGTGGGGAGGAGTTACTCTGTGGAGAGCAGAGTGACAAATCCTGGAGAGAGGAGGGAGCCATTTTATCCACCTCCAAGTTCAACGGAGGAGCCAGGGGTGGCCAATGGTGGCCTTGGTCCCCATAGATGAAACCGGCCACCTCCAGGGTTACCCCAATCATCTGATAAATCTATAAGTAATAAAACCTAGAAAACATTGTATCCTCACATGACTGAGGTGGCTAGTTTACATATATGAGGTGGAAGCCATCTTGTATTTTGACATGGAACCCAAACTTTCTTACACCTACATGCAACCACACACCAAAATTAAAGTCAGTTGCACAATTGTTTTTCAAGTTAACAAAGTCCATGTTCAATAATCCAGGTGTACAATCCAACATTTTTCAGTCAGGTCATTTGGACAGTTTCTTTTTGTGCTGAAACGTTTCACCTTCCATCCAGAAGGCTTCATCAGTCAAGGAAACATACAACAAAACTGATTCTTCCCCCAAACAGCTTACTCCAAAGTGGAACAAACCAGTTATGTTGGTGCTAAGATGGTGACTTTGGCACGCCCCCAAATGGCAAATTATTGGATTGTATACCTGGATTATTGAGCATGGACTTTTTTGGTTTTGAACCAGTTTGACATGACTGTCGACAAGGAAGAGGGCCAGCACCGGAGGAGGGGGCGTACCAAAGACACCATCTTAGCACCAACATAACTGGTTTGTTCCACTTTGGAGTAAGTTGTTTGAGGGAAGAATCAGTTTTGTGTTGTGTGTTTCCTTGACTGATGAAACCTTCTGGATGGAAGGTGAAACGTTTCAGCACAAAAAGAAACTGTCCAGATGACCTGACTGAAAAATGTTGGATATTTTTCAAGTTATTACGTTCACAAGACGGGTGGACAGACAAAAAGGTTTTCCAATTCTCCTCTTTGTTCATTGACAGGGGAACAAAAAAAGTATCAATCTTTAAGGAATGCACATCATTTACCACCACTGCTAATATCAATAAGAACTGTGTGATCTCTTACAATTCAATTCAGTTTATTTCTTCAGCTTCAAGTCACAACAGAATTGTCTCTGGGACTGAACAGAAACATTCATGTATAAAATAATAATTGAACAGAAACATTCATGTATAAAATAATAATTGAACAGAAACATTCATGTATAAAATAATAATTAACAGAAACATTCATCTATAAAATAATAATTTAACTTTATTTATCTGAGGAGCAGCTTTGAGTTTAACTCCATCACTGAACTCTCATGTTGAACAAGCATGAAGGCGACAGTGGAAAGAAAAACTCCCTCATGAGGAAGAAACCTTTAGCAGAACCAGGATCAGGACTAGAGGACCATCTGCTTCGACCGGCTGGGTTTGGTAGGAATAGATACACAATGGCAGGTCAAGAATCACATGTTAAGATAGAAATGAGACCAAATGAAAACGATTCAATTTTAACAATTCATTTAATGAAATGAGGTCAGTTTGTCCTCTTTGTTCTAAGTCTATAGCAGCATATTCTGTGTTACCACACAGAGTATGGGTTGGGCACAACTTTAGCCACTATCACGTCATATTTTAGCTCAAAATCTGCACAAATAACTGAGTTATAACTAATTCTGTTTGCTAAGGTTGATTAGGTGTGGCGCTGTATATCCAGTGATTACTCTCTGAGAGTTTTATTAAAGTCTGTCCCCTGGAATCTCTCTAACAAACACAATCACACACCTCAGGTGATGAATAAACCACAGGTGTTTGATTTCTTTAGATTACCTTGCTCGTTGACCACGGGCAGTGCCGACACTCTCCTCTCCACAAACATGGTCAAAGCTTCGTAGACTGAAGCGGTTTCCTGAATCGTTGCGATCTCTTTAAAGGTACCGATCGGCACCTCACTTATTTTCTTTTGAAGAAACCTTGGTTTGGGAATCATGGAGCCCTGTGAGAGCAGACAGGACGGGTTGTTAGAGCCTGGAATTGTTTTAATTTCCACATCTTATTCTGGGATTATGGAACCAGGAGTTTGCTTACAAAAATGTGCAGGAATTTCAGGATACGCTTGTGAGTTAGAATGTGGAGGACGTTTCCTGACACTGGGTCAATGACTGGCAGCCGATGGATTTTATTCTTTAACAGGGAGTAGATGGCGTCAAACAGGCTGAAGAGAAAAATATACCTGTGTTCAGGGCTTAAGTTGTAAATCGACTGATGCCGGAACAGTGGGCAGGTGGGGGGGGGGGGGGGCAGAAAATTTAGAATAACAGAGGTGCCATTTCCTGTATTTTGGTGTATTTTAACAGGTTGTTAAACATCAACATTTACCTACATTTGTAAACACTTAATAAAATTAACATTGTGGAGAAGAACAGCAGGTTGTGTGCAGCAGCTTGGATTCTGTCACGTGTCCTACCCGGTAGGAGTCCAGTCTAAAGAGCTGTTCAGCAACACTTGAATCAAACCAGTTGTTTATTTTTATATCGGCTTTTATATAAGTTCAAATGCTCTACCAGAGCTCTGGGACCCTGAGGATTCATCTTCTGTATCTTAGCTGTTTCTACCATTGCTCCATGTCCACTGCCTTCTCCTCTTGTTGTCGACCACCACGGTGTCTGGTTTGTTAGACATCCCCCCGTTGGTCTGTCTGGATCTGGACGTCCCACAGTATCTTAGGCCTTCTGTTCTCCTCCACCCATGGTGGTGTCTCCCACTGTGGCTGTGGGACCTCCAGTCCATGCTCAGCACAGATGTTCCTGTATATTGTTCCAGATGTTCCTGTATATTATTACAGCCTCTTGGTTACGGTGTTCCATGTTTTCTTTGCTTGCCTGGATCTTACATCCTGCTGTGATGTGTTGGGCTGTCTCAGGGACATCTTTGCACACCCTGCATCTTGGGTCTGGTCTGGTAGAACCTGCATCTTGGGTCTGGTCTGGTAGAACCTGCATCTTGGGTCTGGTCTGGTTGGGCAGACCCGGCCTCTGTTGTTCTTGTGCTGCCATGATTAGTTCTTCTGGCCTGTCCTTCAGTCCAGCCCTCTCCAGACTCTGGTAGGACGTGTTGATATCAGACTCTTCCTCAAACTGTCCGAGGTACATGACCTGAAGAGGTTTATCTTTCCACGATGGCTCCTCTTGCTCAAAGTGTTTTAGAAGTATACTTTATGGGGTTCTGGATTTTGTTCAGCATTCAATGATTCGTGCTGTACTAAGGGGGTGGATCAAAACTTGTTGCCTCATTAAAAGCATTGACTTAAAATGTACCAGTCGATAAATCTTAATAGAAATGATGAAATGACTGATCAGACCATGACAACTGACCAACCGGCATTCTGACAAACATTTCTTGATGAAAAATGGATTCATTATAAGTTTGTTCAACCCACTAACAGCAACTGATTGTCTATCCTAAATTCTTTGTCTTGTTATTTTTACGTTTGTTGAAAACAAACTGGAGAGCCCGGTAAAAAGACATTCATAAAGACACTCTACTTGTGTTTGATGGGGAATGTGGAGACATGAAGAAACAAGTATCCCCCCAGTCGATAGTTCGTGAGAACTAATGGATGTTAAACAAGCTGAGCCAGAACTGAAGAAAACAATAAAATGAGTTTTTACCTGGACTCAGGTGTGATGCTGATCAGGCGGTTCACAGAGTACTGAAGATAGATTTCTGCAAACACAAACACGAGCTCAAGCAAACGTCTTAAAAGGAAACGCATCAATCTGACAGTTTCTGACGTCTTCATGAAATGTCTGATCTGATCAAATGTGGTAGAGGTTCAGGCAGAAAACTCTTTCACCTGCATCCGTCCATGTTGCTCAAACTGATGTCGAAGGCTCAGAAACCTCTAAAATATGAAATATTTGAAAACCCATAAGGAAGTACGTGTAAAATCCAGGCCCAACATGTGGACTCTTCATCTTCAGGGACAGTTTATAGAACAAATAGTGAAGAAACACAGACCCACTCTGAGCTCTGAACGCTTCAGGAGAGTTTTTAAAAACCAGAGAAATGGATCAAATAACCATCAAATGTTGATGGGATCTGAACTGGTTCCTGTCAAAAACATCACAGAGCGGTACCCCGACGTCCCCCGTCTCTGAGGGGGTTGAACTGTGAATGTTTCCAGTTTTGGAGATGAGTGTTCATTGGAATTAAATTGGACACCTAGACTGGAGACCTGTCCAGGTGTCCCTGTGATGGACTGGAGACCTGTCCAGGTGTCCCTGTGATGGACTGGAGACCTGCGACCCGAAAAGGAAGAAGCAGGTAAAGATGATGGATATTCAAGTGGGCGGAGTTACACTGTGGAGAAGACCACAGGAGGTTTTTCTTGCCTGAGGCAGCGCAGACGGATTCTGGACAGGATGGAGCAGGTTCATCCACCAGCACCTGTAATGGTGGCCTTGGATCAATTGGATTAATTTTTGACCCCAATCATTTGAGGAAACTATACGTTTAAACAATATAAAACTATAAACATAGTTTTCAAATGATCGGGGAGGTCAGTTTACATAGATAAACTGTATTGTGGTGGCCATCTTGGATATTGGCGTGGCGAGCCAGTTTTGATTGTGCTTTTTGTTTTTTCGGCTGCTCCCTTCTTCAGGGGTCGCCACAGCAAATTAACTCGTATGGCGGCTTGGAAATAGTTTTTACACTTCCTGATGACATCACAGACCACCGAGCTACCACAGCCTCTGTGTGGAGCAGAGAGCTCCATGTAGGGCACCTGGAGGAGCAGATGGGGGGAGGGGGGGGGGTTAAGGGCCCAGGGTGGGACAAAATGAGTGCGGCAGTGGTGGCACTTCACTTTTCCCACCCACATTTTGATGTTGTCAGTCCAGGGAGTTGAACCGGTGACCTTCCGATTGCGCCCACCTTCTCTAGCCTCTGCGCCACCACCCCCTGAATTGCCATGTTGTTGTTGGGACACAACACTGAGAGAACATCATGAGCTCTTCTGCTTCTGAAGTCATCGTTTGGTTAGAAAATGACCTGCATGTGAGAATTTGTGTAAAATGAGTGAAAACTGTGTGAGGGTCAGTGAATGCATCATCAGGTAAAGAAGAGGAAGATGAACTGGATTGTTCTCTGCAGTCAGCTCACTGGGTACAACTGCTGTGTTCAGACTTATCACGTGTTTCCTGGAGCTCTGTCAGCAAACATCTGCTGACATGTGGTCTCCTAATGTCATGTCTTCTTTAAAGACAGTGAAATCAACACGCAGCACAGGTGACGGACTTCCAGACCTCTCCATGTTTCGATCTTTTGTTCTTCCAGTTCGTAGATCTGAACCTGCGGACAAAACACAACTTTTATTTAACATGACAAAACTAACAGATTATAAAACGTGTGGACTCACCAGAGGAGACTTGTAATGACGATGGAGGATGTTGATGAAGTCCGTGATGGTCAGCATACCTGCACACACAGCACACAACCATTCAGGGACAGGAGGAACCGTCCTGCACAAGGTACGCTGGAGTTCTGTGTCACCTTGTCCCTAAAACCAGCCTCCTTCTTTACCCTGCCACAGTCACTGTATGAGAGGCAGGGGACACCTGGACAGGTCTCCAGTCCATCACAGGGACACATGGACAGGTCTCCAGTCCATCGCACGGACACCTGTACATGTCTCCAGTCCATCGCAGGGACACCTGGGCATGTCTCCAGTCCATTG